GTCATCGCCGTAGCTAAAAACATCAAAAAAATACATCAGAAATATAAGTTATAGGAAAAAAAAATAAGATAATTGTAACGTAAACATAATATTCATTTTTTTTTTTTTTTAATCCAAGACATTTTCTGTCAAACAAAATGCAAATAATTAAACTTAAGAGGGAAATTAAAGTTGACCCCCTATTGATCAGAAAAAATAATAGGACATAAATGAAATCAATGGTGGGATATTTGGTACTGATAATGACATTTTCTGCGTTCAAACTTATCAATGACTTATGTAATAAAATAATATTGACTTAAACAAACTTCTTTCCAAATACTAAAAGAGTAGAAGATCTTTTGCATGGAATAATGGCAAAAACCGTTGTTTAAAGTCTTCAGAATGGGTCATGTCTGCTTATTTATTCGTAGCTATTAGAAATACGGCTAAATTCACTGAACGTCTTTCTCACAGCGTCATATTCGCGTTTCGCTTCTCTTAATTTTTAGGATGAACGGTTTATCTTGAAAGTGCTTGTATTTTATTTGATATTGATAAACATTATCCTGCCATGGATTTCTATTTGATTCGTATTACTTGCTCTAAATTTAGGATTATGAAGGTTCTATGTTATTTTTTATTTATTTATGTATTTATTGAGTAATATAACATTGTGTATATTTGACAATAGTTATAATGAGATAAGACCACATCCACACTATATATACATAAAAATATAAAATAAACATATGCAAAATAACAACCAAATAATAATAAAAATCATATAAAACAAAGTAAAAGAAAATAACATAAAAATAAATAAATTTATTAAAGAACAAACTACTTATAGCCCTCCAACAGTGGCTGATTGTATTATTATTCAATAAAAAAAAAAAAAAAAAATACATACGTCATCCTCCTGACGAGTAATAACGAATCCCGATTCGAGATATATAGTTGTCCTCCAATAAAAATGTCAGTACTCACTGGACGCAAAATTTGATGCTCTACAACTTTGATTCTATGGGTTTTTCCTCTTAAGGAACTCATTTCCAAGTCGCAGGTCCATTTATAGCAATTTGTCTTAGTTTTTTAAAGATTTTGTAAAAATCAGCATTGGTTGATTTATACCTTACCACGTAACCAAATTATGAAGTTTATGTACTCGTGCGACGCATAATTTAACGTTCTTTCATTTGTTTAACAGTACATTTTTCGCTTTGATGCATCGTTTTGGAGTTATAGGTGAAAAATAGCAGATCGAAAAAATCTGACTTTTTTTTGTCTGTAAAAAAGTTTTCCCTTGGTGACTCGCCTTAGCAATTTTGTTTTTTTAACATGTCTAAACCCATATATGCCAGTTAAAAAAATAAAATCTTTTCTCACATTTTTCGCAATGCATTTCTCGTTTCGATCCATAAATTACTTGCCTAATATTTCTTAAATCGCCCGCCATTTTTAAAAGCTATGAAACGGCAAACAATTTCATGTTTTATATTATTATCTCTGTACGGCAGCGAAAAAGTTTTTAGATATACTTCCTCCCTAATGCTTTTGACGCACAAACGGCATTGGCGAAACGGATTTATTCGTATATACAATATTTTCAAGATATGTTAATAAAGAGGAAATATTTTTGAAACGCAATTTTTATATTATTTGCTATAAAATTATTTTTAATCCGACTTATAAGTATGATTTATTTCTTTTAAATATACGATTTCCATCCTAGTTTTAGACAGATATCAGTGATGAGATAGCGTTGGAAGTCAACACGTTCTATTCCTGTTTTCCTCAAAGATTTATCAGTGGGCCAGACCCTCTCCCACCAACCTACATCCTAATGAGATGTATATCGACTTGTTTGCCTCCGAGGAAAAATCTGTTTCGGAATTGTTCTGATTTTTTTGTTTTTCATATCCCCTTATAATACGTATTTGAATTTTGATATGTGACTATATTGTTGCCTATTTTCCTTTCCTTTTTCTGTGACTGTGTTAAATTATAAGGCCTAATCGTAATTGTAAAGTGTTTAAATTTTGTTGTGTTCTATTATTGTTAAAACTTAAGAATAAGGTGATGGGGTTCATGCCTTGTGTTTATAACTGTCTTATAACTAACTTAATTAATGAGTCTGAGTTTTCAACGGAAATACTTGTTTTTAGGTTCCTAAGTCCAAATAACCAAGTCCCTCAAAATGGTCTATGTGTTAACAGTCTATCTCAAAAATGAAAAGTCGTACGAAAGTGAAATTGCATATTTAAGGTTTTTATATGCTTGGGATGTTACAGTAACTTTTTCGTCAAAATCGGCCTACTCGAAGTGGTACTTTGTATATTAGATGTTGCATATTTTTACGATTTTCTATAAAACGGCTCCAACGATTTAGATCAAACTCGGTACATCAGTGTATTATTAAGTATTTTATTGTAATGTAGGTTTTATTCTAACAGGGCTTAGATATCTAATTTGCAATATTAGCTTCCTCTAAAGTGCCTTTATTTATTTTTTATTTGAAATAATTAACCATCTCACATTAATCTTTGATATAAAAAATAATTAAACATAAATTATGAAAGAATTTGATAATTAACTATAGGAGAAATAAGAAATCGTAACGAATTATAGTTGTGATAGATAAACTAAAGGAATACGAGCGCGCCCGAGCTTGTTGCCACTCAAATACTATCAACAGTAGATCTGAGTAGATGCTGATAAGACGTGGTTTCGTTTGAGAGTAGCAAAGCAGTGGCAGTCGTAGACTTGTAAACTCACTTAATGAATAATTGTTATACCTCATTAAGTTTTTTTCTGTCAATATCATCTAAAGCAGCAAGGAAACTGTTATCTCCTACAATATCTCTCGGTATTCTATAAGATGAAATTACAGTGTTTGTATTCAATGACTTTAACTTATGCGTATCTACATAGACCCCGGCAATGGGGAAGGAGGAGCACTTTCTACATCCCCAATATTTTATGAAGGGGAGGCAGCCCCTCCAATATTTTGCAGTCATTTACTTAAAAATAACTAAAAAAAAGTTCAATAAACTGTATTGATAATAATTGTTTTGTATTACAGATAATAAACTGATTATGACGGTTACTGCAGTACTCCTTTATGTATGGCGTTCAGTACCTTCTCCTTTTGTATACATATATTTTCTTTGTTGGAAGAATTCCTTTTTTTTCCTGAATTCATTATTTATTGTAAATGGAAATGAGCACTTTCGAAAAAGAGACCTTTTTGGGCATCATTGTTTGCGACATTACGGTTCTTGCTTAATTTAATACCAAATATGTGATCAACCATTTAAGCTGATGCACAGCAGTGCACAACTGCACTACATTTAAACCACTGAGGTTGCAGTGCTAAAGAGGAGTACTTCACTACCAAACGCCTAGCCATACTACGAAGCCTTTGTTATTGGATGGAAGGAAATAGTAGGCGCATTCCATTTTAATATGGGAGTAAGACGAAGAAGACTTCCGCAATCCGGAGTGACTCTTGGATAAGAAGCAGCAAAAAGACTAATTTTTTTGTTTTTATTTAATAAATTGTAATCCTCCATCGTATGGTAGATGTAGTCTCCTATGGATTGGAGCGCAAAATGTGCTGCACGGGAGTCTTTCTCGACGTTGAACATGCGTTTGATAGAATCTGGTATCCGGGACTGATGTACAAACTCCGTAAATTCCTACCACCTACATACTTCCTCATTACCCGTTCCTACCTTACTGACAGATACTTCAAAGTCAATCATAACAATGCTCTATTTACTCAGTTTTCCGGTGTTCCTCAAGGTAGTATCCCAAGTCCTATCCTTTACACAGTTTATACAGCTGACATCCCAACCCAATCCAACACTGTCATCACCACCTATGCCGATGACACATGTACCCTATCAGTTAATAACGATCCTTCTATTGCATCCCAAATTCTTCAATCACATATCACAAGTCTTATAAAACAGGGTGAAAACTGGAGGATTAAAATAAATTCCAATAAATCCCATCAAATTACCTTTACTCTTCGTCGTAAACCTATGACTTCCTGCCCTACAGTATCCTTCAACAGTAGCCCACTTATCTCTGTCGAACAAATCCGATACCTATTATTCCACCTGGACAAACGACTCACTTGGAACCCCCATACAAGACTGAAACGACTAGAAACCACCCGACGTTTTCGACTACTGCAGCACTTACTAGACAAACGCTCTAAACTTCCAACTATTTACAAAAGACTCAAATATATTACTATAATAAGGCCTATTTGGACTTACGGGATCGAGCTTTGTGGCTGTACTAAACCATCAAATTCCTCTCGTATCCAATCCCTACAATCCAAAAACCTTCGTAAAATCCTCAATGCTCCCTACTCTGTCACAAATAAAATCATCCATAACGATTTTAATGTACCATATGTTTCCGATTTAGCTAAATCCAGATACCTATTCTTCCATAATAAACTTCTGAACAATCCGAACCCTCTTGTTTCCAACCTTGCTTCCTCTTCTATCCCTTATGACCCTCCGAGGCGTATGAAAAGAAGATGGCCTCGGGACCTTCTAATATAGAAATATAATTGGAGTGCTACCAATGGGCAGCTTCTTTACATGTTGTACATGTCAAGTTACTTACATCATATTTACTAGTTGTATTTATCATTATACAGTTGTAAATTTCAATAATAATAAAATAAAAAATTGTAATCCTATATTATTCAAATACAAGGGAGGGAGATGAAAATAATAAATAAATGGGTATGTCTATTTCTGCCCAAAATTTTCTTTCTTAACTCATTTTAACCTTGAACTTTTAAAACCAAGTATGATCCCTAAATACGTATATGTATGCGAAGGACATAATGTAATATAAAGATAAATAATGTATTATTCAAAGAGAAAGAGAGAAGGCTGAGAGAGGGACGGAGAAGATGGGAGCTGTGTGAGGAATGCGGGGGTCGGTGGCCAGGCCTGCTTCCAGGAAACCAAGTCCCACTCTTGCTGTCCCTGTCAGGTACCTACCGCCAGTGGCTCAGTCCGGTCTCCTTCATTCCGCCTTTCTTCTTGACATTTGTCTTCTCCATTATTTGCAAGTGCAGTGGAGAAAGTGGCGAAATAATGGTGGCAACAAACAGTACTTCCAAGATGGCTAGGGACTCTCGACAGCAATCTATCTCGGAACATAAGGGAGGGGGAGGAAAACTCAAGAATGTATGGAATGTCGTCGAAACCGAGTAGATATCCTCTTGGGGCACTAAGAATATAATACCGTACATCGAGATTAAAACAGTAGATTTCGAATCTTATATTGAAATGGTGTATTTATAATTTAGGTAACACCATAATCATATTTTGCTAGTTTATTCATATCGATTGCTGTTATGGTCGTACTAAGAACCGTATAGACGAGTACACTAAATATCTCTCTCTTTATAAGAGGCACTTGCGGTTCGAAATAAATATCATCGTCAGATAGTATTAACACGTGTCATCGATATAATTAAGGTCAACAGAATAAAAAAAACTTAGTCGGGTATTAAATTCAGAAATATTTTTTATTTAAGCTAAAAAAAGTTTCTCTGATTTTGCTGCTTGCGGCAAATGCCTCCCTTGCTCTTCCTTCGTTTTGGAGCTGTGTACATTCCTCACTAAATAAGAAGAAACTGATAGTAAGAAACAACAGCACATCTTCACATTATTATATAATTATTAAGTACATCATAAATTTCTAAAATATTTTCCTTTCTTTTTTCTTTTTGCTTCGATTAAAAAAAATATTTATAAGTCTGTTTATTTTACATTTTCAATAAATAAATGGCGACGAAAATTAGACTTACAGCTTTAGATTAGATCCGGAACTGGTGATAAGGGGAAAACCTAAATAAACCTAAATAGGATTTAGGGGGCAGCAAATTTGGTGTTTTTTAATTTAGGGTTTTTTTCCTTTATTTTAATTTTTAATTGTATCGATAAAATCAGCGGATGTTATTAAATAAAGATATTTTTCTTTCACCATATAATTACCTATATTATTGTTTTTAAACTGTTTATTAGTTAGAGTAAAAGAAGAGTAAGCTCGCCCCCTTCCCACAGAAAACAAAATCCTAAAATCTTCGCTTCATTTAATGTATCTACAAATTAGTATTTTACGCAGGAATAATTACCAACATCACATTCTAATGAATACGACTGCATTATGTTAGTTTCAAATATTTCTATTGCTCAAGAACTTATAAATTGGAATGATGTTCATTACACAGAGGTAAGCTAGGATGAGACTTCTTGAAACTGTTCTAATAAAGTTCAATGACTCGTAAATTGATGTAAAAAAATATTCTCATTCAAAACAAATTCCTTTAGTGACTCAACTGCGTGCTGCAGATATCCATTAGTTGCTTCTTAAATTAACCTATGGAGGGACCGGGATAGCTCAGTGGGTAAGCATTGACTTCCAAAACTATAACGCTGATTCGAATTTGGCTGATGACTAGTAATTTTTCATCAGACGTAGATCAACCGGTCTGGGTCCATACCCAGTCTATGAAGTGGTTACTCTTAATTCAGCCAAAAAAAAAACTGGCGGTTGAGCGTGATCATCTAATCTGCACAACCGTTGTAGACCTGGAGCCAGAGCCCAAAAAATCTACCTCATCGAAGGTTTTACAATTTAAAGATAAACATCAAACCCATAATCAATCAGACTAATAATTTTAACGTAAACGAATATAGGTCACCTTAAATATATTTAAAAGTTTTTGGGCAACATTTAATGAGTTATTGCCTCAATAGCGTCTTTTCTTATCTTCTCTAAATATATTGTGTAATATGCCTTAACGTTTAGATAAACCGTCTATTCTGAACCGTGCAGTGAAGTATATAGTATATTAAAATTTTATTATTTTCCATCTACTTCTGTACCTTTCAGTATACATTACATTAATTTACAATCAGAGGAAGTATTTTTATTTTATCGAGTGTCTTACGTAGTCCTTTAATTATCATGTTATGATTATAAACTTAGCAAACTTAATAGTATTGTTAATATTGATAGTAGATGACCATAATTCATTTGGAATCATTGCGGTATTCAACTTAAAAAAGCCAGGTCCATTTTACAATTCTTTTATTTTTAATTGACAGATTTGGTTACGAAGTGATATGATTCCTTCTGCCTTTAGAAGGAATAAAAAAAAAAAAAAAAAAATCAATGAAAGTTAGTGAAATGGTGTTGGCTGGATTTGGAACTGGAGGCATCTAGATAATTGTAAAATCTGTTTTTGAATGATTTTTGTGAATTTTTTAAAATGGTGTGAATCATTTAAAAATAAACACACTATTCGCCAATTTAATTAATGTTCGTCGTTGAGAGTAGAATTTTATTCGGAGGCGAATCACACACTTTTTTCGACTTGGACTCTCAGATCTAAATTTATTAATAAATTAATGAAACGTCTTCTTCCTCAAAAAAAAAAAAAGTTTGTTGATGGCAATCTATGTGTAATGAGAGCCCGTCAAGCAAATTAAAAGATATTAAAAAGCATTAATTAAAGCCGTGGTCAACATTAAACCGTCCTACCGCAGAGAAGAGGTTGTCTTGACCAGGCTGTGAATAGGCCCTATAAATCTAATCCATTCACATTACATTAGCAAACAGCCTTCTGTCAACACTGCAATAGCGCACTTACAGTCAGTCACATTTTTCAGGGATGTCATTTTTATATAACAAAGTTAAATAGTTCAGGAATCACACCCCCAATGTCAAACATCATAAAAAACGACGAAGACTCAGTAAAGTTAGTATTACAGTTCTTTAAATTAAACAATTTGCTAAACAAAATATAAAAGTTGGAATTTAAATCTAGTTCAGCGATAAGCAAAATTAAACACAGGTGTTGATTGCCTCGAAGTTTTACGCCTTATAATAGACCTTAAGTTAGAACAATAATAGATTAGTTATAACTTCAGGCAGTGGCGGCCTTAGGGCGGGGCAACTGGGGCGCCGGCTGATCTGGAGGGGCGCTTGCCAATTGTTAGAAATTAATAAAAAATACAAAACGTATCAATAAAGCAGCAATCTTAGAGAAATATTGAATGAAATAAAATTAAAATATTACATAATTTAAAATACCTTAAGAAATAAATTTAATTTTTTTAGAGGAGGGAGATGATGTTATTGCCCGATGGGTACCAAATGTCTAAGGCCGGCATTGACTTCAAGCATAGCTGTCTTATTGCTTAATTAATGAATTGGAGGAATGTTCTCCAATAAGACGAGGTTATCATTTACATAGTCCATTGTTTCTTAAAATGTTGTATGTTAAATAGACTATCTCGATAATATTATATTGTGTATGCGAAAAAACACGTTTCGCTGTTACTGCCTATACGGATTATTAGGTTAAAGGATAATTAGAAAGATAGTTATCTGATAGATAATTAAATTATTTTAAATAAAAAAATATCATGAATCCATGTTGCAGACCTATCCTGTGTATACTCTATACCTAACTTTTGTTTTTATTTTCCCTCATATTCATGTTACTATCGCAATGGGTTTTGACTGAAAAGGCATGGAAAAAGAATTAAAAATGTTCAAAAATAATTTTATAAAATTCTGGTTAAAGTACGAAGTGCTATAAATGATGAGATATCGGCCGGTAAAGACAGACTAACTGTACCGCGAACCTGAGAGAATTCCAGACTGCATTCCAGCTCCAGGACGACTCGCCCCCTCCCCCCAACATCGATTCATAAAGATGGCTTTGTCGGCTCCTAACGGCCCCAATCCTCGATCTCGGGATACTTGACACAATTACCATCTCATTATCGCCTACCATTTTAGACAAAAAACGGTAACCTCACGCTGAATATCAACAAATATGCGTGTATGTAGTGTAAGCGAACCGGAACTAACAAGACAGAAGTTAACATGCATGAGTATGGAATGGGATTTCTGACTTTAACCATCAACTGTTACATTCAAAATTTTTTTATTTTTTTTTCAATTTTAAACTTTTAGGTTTTATGTTTATGGTTGTTAGTTACCAAAATTTTTAATTCGGGTTTCGTCACTTTTTCATGAAATTAGGTTTCTTATGACACCTCCTTTGTCAAAATCCAACCCTTCTGAGCGCCGGAAAACAGATCTATATTACCTGTGGTATATTCTAAACAAGAAGTGCACATAACCCGTGGTACAGATCCTTTTTTATGAAATTATTAACGTCAGCCTTTAGCTTCATCTCATCATAACCAACCACTTTTTTTATTTATGAAAATTTGGTAATTGGGCCGTTTTCAATCTGGAGATCGAAACTTTGTCTAGTTAATTAGTTATTAAAAACTCTTGAAGACCCATTTCCTTTCCATTTGAATCATATGATAATATGATCAAAATATCGAGAAAAAAGGGAGCCTACAAAAACATTGGTCCTTTTGGTCTATACAACCTCGTTATTTTGACATTTCGTAGGCCATCTTTTAATCAATTTTTTGATCAAATTATATTGGGATTCGAGCGAAAAGCAAATGGGTATTTCTGAGTTTTTAATACATTCAATTATTCTTGAAATTTTTAAGAATTTTCGTAGATAAAAAATTTGTAAGTTACGATATGATATAGCCATTCACAAAATATTAGGCGGATGTCAATAATTTCATAAAATGGGGTCTGTACCGCGGACTAACAATATAATAAACATCTATACTAATGTTGAGAAGTCATCTGTATTCCTTTATAGTAAGTTGCTAGACATCGAGATAGAGCTGATTTCCAGAGGTTTGCTTGACCGAAATTTAAAATGTTACTGAGTGGACATGAAATGATACTTTACAGAATATATCCTGTTACGTTTTTCTCCTACAAGACGCTGGGTCATTTATAAAAATATATCTCAGTTTTTGACTAATTTGGTCAAAATAACCTTTGGTTTACTTCTTAATAACCATTTGTGCTTTCGACTACACCACTTAACCAAATTATTAAGTTTAACGGTACTCATTTTACGCAGAGTTTAATGTCCTTTAATTTATTAAAGAGTAAGTTTTTCTTTTGATTGTACTGTTCAGGAATTATAGCCGAAGAAACAAACAAATATTTTTTTAAAAATGTAGCTTTTTTAGCTCTCAAAAATGTCCTCTTGGTCAGGGGTGCCCATCTTTCCCCATGGTTGATGGCTCATACCCTCCCTCCTCTCCTTCCAGAAAGTTTATTGCTCTCCTCTTTTTAAAAACAATGGAAGCGAAAGTAGACATTTTTTTTTTTAGTCCTTCCCTTCCTCGCCTTTAAGGCTATACGAGGGTTTTCCCGGACCAGGAAGTGTGGGCGGGGAATTAAAAACTCCGGGCACCGTTACGCGAACTCGTGACAGTTTTTTTATCAAATTCTTATGTATCAGGTTGCCGGGCAACGGCGGTGCAGTGTACACGCATTAGCCCATTCGGCCACGCCGCCCAACGAAAGTAAATTAACAAAATTGTTCATTTAGAAATTGTTGTACACTTTTTGTGATCCGTTCCATGTTTTCCTCCTTTCCCTGGTTTTAAAGTTCCTCCAGATTGAAACTCCACAAAAACTCCTCGAAAAAATCAAATTTCTGTAAAAATGTGTTTTCCACCATTGTAAGGAAGTTCAAAAGATAAAGCCTGTTCCACACTCTTGCATAATTCCCGTTTCGACCCTCAACTAATAAGCCATATATTATTTAAATCAGCGGCTCTGGAATGACAGACAAGATTCATTTCTCCTTTGAAAAGATACATTTACGTAATTCACATCCAAATTATCTCTTAAATTGTGCACTTTTTTTTAGTCGATCGCTTAGTTTGGTCTCTTGTACTTACGAATTACGGTTTTGAATTTTTTTGGTCAATCTTTGCCCCATATATGTTCATAAATAAAAAACAAAAATACCAACGTATATTCAACAAAATACCAACGATTAAATCGAGAAAAATTGGCTCGTTTTATTCCTTAACTAGCCAAATCCATCTTTAATTTTCCCATTGTATCCTAATTTAATTAACGTTCCTGCACTTGCCAGGAGTCGGTTAATGTCGATTTTTAAATAAATCATCTACTTTTTTATCTTAAAAGTCGACATAATTGTTTTTCTTTTTATATTATTTGTTCTGTCTCATTCATGAGAAATAACTGTCATTATTGTACTTATCGAGATTGGATTTCCAAAATAATTGTGCAAGTTATGCTATTTAATGTGACAGCCCTAACGATTTATTTGACCATTCCTTATAAACTTACCACATTTAATCTGCCACTTTCCCGATATTTTATCTCACTTCGAGATCTTCGTTGTAATTCTTTTTAATAATTGTTGATGTGCGCTGTGAAAACACACTGGATTGCTAGTACATGAAGATAGTAAAGAATTTATGAATGACCAATTTAAGTTAATGACAGTAAGTAAACATCGACTTTTAGGCTCGGTCATGATTAGGACAGTGGTTTGGGAAATCTGTCTTGGGTCCATTCAGCTCTAAAATGAGCTTAACTCCAAGTTAGTGGGGTGTTAATGATAAGTGATTAAAGCACAATCCTTTGCTGATCCATCTTCATCTCTTGTTTTACCTTCCGCTTTAGTCCCTTTACTGTGGGTTGTTCGCGGATGGAGAGAGACAGGGAGAGATAGAGATAGAGGGAGTGAGATGATTCATTCATATTATTATTCTTGCTTATTTGGTATTGCACAATATCGTAATGAAATTGCTCTAATTATTTAAACCTCACAAAAATTTAATGTAATTCATTTCCATCGGATATTCCTGCCATTGAAAAATAAATATATTCATATATGTAACAAAAATTAAAAATTGATAAAAATTTTATCCAGTTATCAACTAAAAATAATTATTTTTTATTGATTCTGATTCATAAATTTCAGGTACATGTTTGATGAAATAATAAATACATTTATCACACATAATACATAAAGTTATAACTATGATATAAATTATTATTCAGAATCAAACGAATAATTAAAAAAGTGAAACAGCAACAACCCTAAATGAATAATCATAAAACAAAACTTTTGGGGTTATTTAATTATTTTATTTCCCTAAATTTTACGTTCTGAAATTAATTTTTAATTTTTATTATTCGATAATAAATCCCTTGTTTAGTATAAAAAAAAAGTCAGTAAAATAAAAATTCAATTTTTACTCCCTCTTTTACATTCAGATCGATAATAAACCACATTTTGAAGAAGCTAATAATACCTTGTCAATTATTGATAAATAATAACGATGGTGGATTTTTGTTGCTTATTTCTTCCTAAAAGTAAAAATGTCTAAAATGTTTTAAAACCTAAAAGATTATTTTTATTTTTTAGCTCCCTGTAATGTAATATTAATAATCTCACGGCAGACAGGGTCAAGACATGGTTTAGATACTTGAAAATATTTTCTTAATCGATGAGTTGAAAACATACCTTTATAAGATAATTATCATAGTTAAAGCTATTCTTTTTTAACGAACGTTTTCTTAAACTTTAATCCTTCTGTATTATTTTATTAAGTATTGTCAATCAGATGGATCAGTATGCTGTGCTAGCATATACTCATCATAGCTGAACACCAATATGATTTTATTGTATTTCTCTTGATTATGCATAACATAGACTTATATATTATTGAATCGTTTCTCTAGTATGATGAGCTTCTAACAATATCCCAGTCAATGATTGATTATAGAAGGAAATGGCGGCTACACAATTTTTGACTTTGGGACATTGTTTGGACTAGTCAGGAGGTAAACATACTAAAAGTCCCCACTCCTAGGTGGTGAGCCAGATTTGGGGTGGGGCGCGCCTAGTATGTCACATTTTGGAGGTTTTCGCTTATAAATGGAAAACTATTCATCGCATGGACAAAGATGTACTATATAAAATTAAAGCTGATATCTAGTTTCCGAGATATCCGTCCTCAGCATAGCTAATGTAGAAAAAAAAAAATTCAACTCATAATGTTTACTGTATTTAACTGGCTAACGTTATTTAACGCTTCGTTTTATGATCAAAACATGGAGAAGAAAGTTTTTAATAATTAAATGTTCTTAAAGAATAAATATTATTTTACTAATTTATCTCAAACGGTTCAAAAGTTAATCAGTTATAAATTTATATGTCGATTCCGAGAATTTGCATAAAAAAATGATTTTTATAATAAACGTTATTGTATGTTTGTATATGTACATATATATATATATATATATATATATATATATATATATATATATATATATATATATATATGAAGCGGGACTTAGTCCCAGAATAAAGTTTAATTTTCTATTCTATTCTATTCTAAAAATAGAATAGAATAGAGAATTAAACTTTATATTTAAAAATACTTATATATATATATATATATATATATATATATATATATATACATACATAGATATTTAGATATATAGAGAGTAATATAATAATAAGGTATGTTATAAAAATTATTTTTTTCTGCAAATTCTCAGAATCGACATATAAATTTATATCTGAACTGTTAGAGATAAACTTGTAAAATAATATCTATTCTTCAAGAAAATTTAATTATTAAAAACTTTCTTCCTTATGACTTAATCGTAAAACGGAGCAATTAAAAGTCATCTAATTAAATACAGTAAAAAAACATGAGGTAAAAAAAATGTTTCTCCACATCAGCGACAACTGAGGACGGATATTTCGGAAACTAAGTAATGTAGCGAAAAAAGGTATATAAACAATTATATTGCTAATTTTATCAGCTTTAATTTTGTAGTTCGTCTTTATCGATGCGATGCATAGTTTTCCTGATATAAGCGAAAACTCGAAAAACACGAGAC